GCGTCGTGTGTTTTGTACGTTGCATAGAGGTTAGAACAAAACGGCTGATCACGGTGTTTCCTTTGGAAAGCTGCCTTGTTTATTTCGTTTTCGGCAATGTTACTCATAATGAAGATTTATTACGCTTCAATGATTATGAAACACTACATACGTGCAGGTAAAACACTGTAATGAACATGAACATTCTGTTTTTACATTTATGTAATATAATCTTGAAAGTTATTCGTGAAAAGAATTTAAAAAAATTGTAGTAACTGTACCTGATCAGGAATCTATGGCGAGTAATACATTATTGCTTTTTAAATTCAGTTGAAATAGCAATGGCAGCATTATATATGTACACAACAGGAAGTTGAAATTATATATCAAAGTTGATCATTTTCATTCGATATAGAAGAGACAGGATATATGTATCCGCAGTAATAAGGTTATTTTGTAATTGATGATGGAAATTTATCTACTACCGTTGGATCTAATATTTTGGATCACATGTAAAAGGTAGAAAAAATATTATTGAGTACTTCATCCATTATACATTAAAAAGTCTAATTTTGTATATCTTTTAGAGAAAGTCGGCAAAGGAAGTGCTCATAATCATATTTAATTTTAGATGGGAATTATAAATAATATTTTTTATAAATATAATATGATGAACGCCAAAAAAATAACAAGAATATTACCATTTGAAATAAATAATCCAGCAAGGTTAATTCATTGACAGCTTATATTTTTCAATGAACTTCAAAATTAAGTGAAACTGTAATAAAAGATGTGAAATGTGTCTTATAAGAAAATGCATAAGAGAAACAATTTATAAGTGTAAGAATTATAAAGTACTTCTCGATGGTATTTTCTGTTTTCCTATATACCATATAAAAGAAAATTATTCTGTAATATTTGTAGTAGGTTTTCAGTAGTAAACACACAGTTCGAGGTCGTATCTGCTAATAAGGGCGGTAAAAGTTCTGAGACTCGCTGCTGTTATTGTTTTCATTTCACTCGCTCCTTAGCGAGAGCGAGAAACAATAAGTGAAAATGAAATAGAAAGATTCGACTGCCTCCTGACGATGTCATACAATCGCTCCCCCCATCAAAACAAACACTTAAAGAAGGGTTCGCTTGGCTGATGTAGTTCCAAGAAATGGTGTGAGATGCCTCTGTGTCTATTTTGGTATATACAAGATACATTATTGCATGTGTATCTGTGATTGTGAGGTTATGTCAGATTTTAAAAAGATTTTAGTTCATTTATTAATTAATTGAATTCCAAAATATATGATTTACGTATTTAAAATGAACAAAAATAAATCTTATAACCTTTAAAAAATTATCTACTTTTAATCGAATGTTAATAAGAAGTATCGAAACACAGAAGTTTAAACAGCAATATCTTAAAAATAAAAACATGCCATGCTGTGTTTTTCTTTACGTTCATATTTTATTCTAATATATTTGTCTGTTATA